TACAACACGCCAATTATAAATGAATGTGTGTATCATCATAAGTTAAATTATATACAGGTCTATATGGTGTTTACTTGGCTGCCAGAAAGAATTAAGCCTTCTTAGTTTGTTTCCATGTGTATTAAAGCTTATACTACAGAGCATGCATATTGTGTCATTAAGATGACAGATTATTTGTGAGGACACCAGGTCTCTCAGCATGATTTAGCACTATTTTATAGGGAGTATGCACTCTGAGACTGACATCTCATTATTTTAAAGACAATTCCAAGAATTTCTATATTATAAAGACAGACATGAATTAGATTTTACCACTCTTTTTTTTTTTCATTGCTACACTAAATATAGAAGACTGTATTAAGCAACCAAACCAGGGTGGGTATATTCAAAAGCAGCCAGCTGATTCAATGACTAAGAAACACAATTTAAAATACGATCCTAGAGGAAAAGTGCTTTTACATAAATACATCTTCAAATTCAGTTCCATCATAATTTTGAACCTATGCCCAATATCTCAAAATGACATTTATATGCATTTGAAAAAAATTATAACACCTCAATTTTCCGTTATTATTAAAACTAAATTACACTACAGAAATATATTATTGCAGAAGCTAAATTTCATTAACATTTTATGTTTATTTTTTATATTTCCTCCAAGCAACATTAAAACCAAACAACTTCCACACAAGCTTTGTTCTTCCTGAAGCCTCTAGAGAACCTTAGAAATTCTAATTAGAATTAGCAGTTATAACCTACATTTTTTATTGTTATTTTAACTTTAGTTAATATTAATCATTACTTTAATTCTTATATAGTATCACTCTTAACTATAATTAGAATAATTCTTATATAGTATCACTTTTAACTATAATTACTATAGATTTTTAAGGAAAATGATACTATTTTTATAGCTTTGATAGTTATGTGGCCCCAAATATCATCAAATTGAATACTAACTAGAACCTATATATAAGTTCTAACAGTAACATATGTCATATTTATTCAAAAACACTAAGGGGCGCCTGGGTGGCTCAGTCGGTAAACCGTCTGACTTTGGCTCAGGTCACGATCTCACAGCTTGTGGGTTCAAGTCCTGTGTCGGGCTCTGTGCTGACAACTAGCTCAGAGCCTGGAACCTGCTTCAGATTCTGTGTCTCCCTCTCTGACCCGCCCCTACTCACAGTCGGTCTGTCTGTCTCTCTCTCTCTCTCTCTCTCTCTCTCACACACACACACACAGAAATAAATAAAACATTAAAAAAAATGACTGCTCAAAAAAAAACCAAAAACACCAATAGGGTCTTTTTCAGCTGCATCTAATATATACATATTTTTTCATTTAACCAGAGAGCATTTTGAGATATTTTTTATCATACACCATCATTACAGCTTATAAGAACCTACATATAATGATGGGAATGCAGAATTTGGGAACTAGAAGACCTTAGAGATTAAGAGTAAGAATTTCTACTGATCAGGATATCATCATATCTTGCCCAAACTATGGGTGGCTTATTCATAGTCAATGCTCTGTCACATATCTGTGAATTTCCAGGGGAGGGGCAAAGAGTGTCTACCAAAGGCCTGCTCAATAGTTAGTCATTAAATTATTGGGTCACTAATGCTTAAAAAACAAAACCCCATCTCCTCAGTATGAAGTTCACTTTACCAGTCTCACCTTCAAGTCCCAACTCAAAAGGGTGTGCTTTCAACAGCTGCTATACCTCACCCAGTGCACACCCCACCCTCTACGCAGCTCACCCTGCCTCCAAACTTTTCTAATAGTGTTCTCTGAATAGAATGTCTTCTTTCTTTTTTCATTTTGAAATTCTACTTAAATATCAAGGTCCAGCTCAAATTATACTACCTCTGGGATCTCTATTTACCCTACTAAAAATTAACTACATTTCCATCTTGTGCTCCTATTAAAAAATATCTATGCTAACATGAAATATAACTTAACTAAATGTAATGAACCTCTTTCTCTCTCACTCACTAGATGGTAAGATCCTTTATGCAGAAAATGAGACCTTATTCATTTTTCTCTCTCCCAGGGAGTATAATGCAGTACTCTACAAATATAAATTAAATGAAATGAGAGGTCCACTTTCTCCTAAATTAGAAATAATTTGGCTTATTAATAGAAAATTAAAATTTGTTTTATTTATAACTCTAAATAATTCAAATAGAAAATATAATTTGATGCTTCTCTCATATTAAATATTTACAAACTTAAATATTATAGGAATCAGAGGTATTTTTTAAAGCTTATTTCTTTTAATTTGAGAGAGAGAGAGAGTATGAGCAGGGGAGGGGCAAAGAGTGAGGGAGAGAGGATCCAAAGCAGGTTCTACACTGTCAACACAGAGCCTGATGCTGGGCTCGAACTCACAAACTGTGAGATCACGACCTGAGCCGAAATCAAGAGTCAGAAGCTCAACAGACTGAGTCACCCAAGCACCCCAGGAATCAGAGACATCTTAAAATTTCTTTCTAGGGGCACCTGGGTTGCTCAGTTGGTTAAGCGTCTGATTTCAGCTCAGGTCATGATCTCAGGGTTCTCGAGGGTTTGAGCCCTGTGTCGGGCTCTGTGCTGACAGCTAAGAGCCTGGAGCCTGCTTTAGATTCTGTGTCTCCCTCTCTCTCTGTCCTCACCTGCTCGCTCTCTGTCTCAAATAAATAAATAAACAAACAAACATTTAAAAAAATAAAATTTTGTTCTATTTAGCAATCTGAAGCACTTTGAATTCCTAACGTAAATATTTTCTTAACATAGAATAGTAATGCTTTCAATGCATTTACGGAGAATGGAGACATAAGCTCTCCCAAACCCCTTGCAACAGGAGAAAATTCTCAGAGATTTTGGAACACTGGGTTTAAGAGCTTTCGAAATAAGTCTTAGAAACAATGGGTGTGTTCCTCCTTCCGAAATGCAGTTGAGTGAGTGGCAAACAACAGCAAAATGGGAAAGAAAGTGGATCCCTGGAGCTAGGAGAGCCAGGGTAGTGTATCTGGAGTTCACTGGAGTCAGAGCCTCCTGATTTCTTACTGATCCTGCCACCTATTGGCCAAATTATGAATCAAGGTACTGCAAGTGACCAGGAATTTCAGCTGTTAAAGATCAATCAATAGTTACTAAGTGTTATTAAAGTAAATGGGAGTATTGTCTCATTAAATTTTGTTTTGGCTACCTTATTTATGTCTGGAATATGCTACAATGCTTAATTGTTCCTTTAAATGTCCCTTCAGAAAATAAGACTTAGTAAGATTACTGAAAGGTGCTCCTGACTGGATTTGTACTCAAATATTAAAAATTAGGAAAAATAGAAATAGTAGTATCACACATAAAATTCAGAGAATGAGAGCTAAGAAGAATGGGAATGCATTATTATTCTCAGCATTGAGGAGACGAGAACTTTTATATAATTTTTATTAGGTCTTAGCAGCTGCAGCAAGAATTGCTTCTATTATAACTGATTGGCTTTACCAACTGCTGCTCAGAAGAGCAGGAAATTCTCTTACTGAATTAACAGCTATATTAAGTGTCAACAACTAAAGCAAAACACACATACACAGACAGCATCATGTTAAATGAAAGTGAAAGGGAATTAATATTTGTTAAGTGCCTACTATACTAAGCACTGTGCTGGGTGCTTTAAATATATAACCTTACTTAATTCTCACAACACTACTAGATAAACATTAGTCTACTCATTTTATGGATGAGAAAATTCAGTCTCAGAGGCTACAAGTATTATAGCTGGAATGCAAATAAGTGTGATTCCATCTCCTCTGGTCTTTTCCACTATATCACACTACCTTTAGAAACTCTCTAATGGATTTTATACTTACCTCTATGTCTCAAATGTCATTTTCTTCATTTGTAAAATAGAATGTGGGATTAATCACTTCTAAGGCCCAGAATAACTGTACAATTTCATGAAACCTATGATTCTTATGGGACTCAGTAAAACTGATGGATAAGTACGAAAGCAACTGCTCAACACAATATGAGGAAAGAACTAGACAGAGAAGTTCACAGAAAAGTAAATTAAAATGGTCTTTGAATGGAAGAAAAGCTGCTCAACTTCACTCCAAATTTGAGAAGTTGAAATGATAACATGGATGATTTATCATTTTCACCTATGAGATGGACAAAGGTTGCAGGGAAACAGATACTTATATTTTAGATGACACTACAGACACAAACTCTTTGGAATGCAATTTGGTAATATACATCAAAATTATAAATGTACACAGCATTTCATCCAGGGATTTCACTTCTAGAATTTGTCCTACAGATAGATTTACGTGCACAAAGTTATATACAGATTACACATTCATCACAACATTGCTTGAAATCCAAAGAGACTGGAACTAATCTAAATATCCATTCACTGGGGACTGATGAAATAAGTTAAGATAAGACCATACCACAGAATTCTATGCAGTATGAAAATGGAACACAGTAGATGAAAATAAGCTACTAAGGAATAACTTCCAAGTACATAAAGTAGAAACAGCAAGAAGCCAAAAACAAAAATGATAAATACACAAATGCTTCTAGAAGCACAGACTATTTCTAAAGAGAATGTGAGAAATTAGTAGCTTTGCTTTTCTCTGGAGAAGATAAAAGTCTGTAAGACTTCTCTGTAAGTCTGAGACTGAAGGGATAAGTTTATCATGCTTTTTATACATTTTTTGTTTGTTTGTTTGTTTGGTTTTTACTATATGAATACCTTGATATAAGCATTTTACCTTTTTAATTTAAAAAATCTTTTATAGTAAACAGTACTCTCGAGTCATTGAAAAACCCTTTAAATGTGAAGAGTACTGTAGCAAATAAGTAAAAAGTAAAAATTTACTTTAAAAATTTACTTAAAAATGACTTAAAAATAAGTAAAAAAAAGTAATACCAGGAATTTTTAAAATGTCAAATTTCTTCTAATTACCTCTGATTTGTGTGTGTGTGTGTGTGTGTGTGTGTGTGTGTGAGCTTCAATCTACATGCAACAACAATTATAGCAAAAGTACCTCCAGTGTGCAAGATATGATAGAAGAGCTGAAAAGGAATAATTTTCATCTTTCTCTCTCTCTCTTGCTTTGTCACGTTCTCTCTCTGAATCTTCCAAAATTCACTTTATAGAAAATGTGACAAATCATACAAGTAAATGGTAAAGCTGCCAATTCCAAGTGCATGGACATATGGAATGTATCAATTTCTTAGGTGTGAATACTCATCCAAACTTAAAAAATCCTAAGTTTATTTGAACTATCACTTCTACAATAATTAGTAAAAATAACAGTTAAAATACCAAAAATTCATTAACACCAATGGTTATGAGATTGAGAAGCTACCTATATAGTAAGAAAATTATGTGTGAAACGCATAAGAGGATAAAGATCTAATAAACAAAGCACTTCATGATCAAATCAGTAAAATATACTAATTCAGTATCAGATTTTGATGTTATCCCAGAAAACAGGCTTGTAGGAAAAAACTATAAAATTTCCTAGGAAAACAAATTGATAAGTAATACAAACGTAAGAGGAAAGACTATTTGTGCACTATGGCACCAATCTTATTCCAATTTCATGAAAACTTCTGGGCTGTTAGTGTTCTGTTACATTATTTTCTCTCACATGGTGAATCGACAACTTTATCTCTTCTGCTTCTCAGTAAAAATGATTGAATTATAATAGAGGGATATAGCTCACATATTAAACAACAAAAATAAAACAATATTTTCAGATTACTAACATTTACGCAGATTATGTTTAAGGAAAAACAGCTATTCTTCTTTAGTTGCTTGGTAAAATCTAGCTAATAGTTAATCTATTTATGTTTGACTCTGTCCAGTGTGGAAAAATTATACATGTATATATTACTAGAAATTTTTAGTAATGCATTTAATTAAATATATCAGAATAAGAAATCTGTATTTTAAAAAATAAAATGTACCTTTTATCTGGGTAGCAAAATTCAGTGCCAATTTTGCAAAGAGATCAGGATTTTCAAATTTATCCTCCTTAACTTTTAACCAGAAACAGTTCTCAGATAATTCTTTGGGTTCAATCTGAAACAAAAATAACAAAGATAAGTTTCTAAATATTACTTCATTTTTAATTTTTCAAAGAATTCAATTTCACCAAGTTTAAATGACAGTTACTTTATTCATCTATCTACTGAATCAATTTTAGGATATATTAAAATAACACTTTTTAAGTAAATATTTATTGGGGAAGTCACAGAATTCTATTGGTGTACAGAAAGATATACAATACCAATAAGCTATATAGCAAATTACATTAAAAAAATCTTCTACTGGAAAGAATCTTAAAAAATAATTTAGTAAATCCCTTCCCAAACTCACATATATTTTGTTCTGTTCCTGGATTTTTACGAATGAGGAAACTTAAATTCAGAAAAGTGAAATAACTGTCTGCGTTTACTGGTCAGGATGAAGTAATAATCATAAGAGCTGACATCTTCCATACCTCCTATAATGTGTCAGGTACTGTTTTAAGTGATTTGCATGCATTACCTAATCAAATTCTTGCAATAATCCTTTAAAGCAGGATCTATTGGGGCACCTGGGTGGCTCAGTCGATTAAGCATCCGACTTCAGCTCAGATCATGATCTCATGGTTGGTGGGTTCAAGCCCCGCGTCAGGCTTTGTGCTGGCAGCTAGCTCAGAGCCTGGAGCCTGCGTGTCTCCCTCTCTCTGACCCTCCCCTGGTCACGCTGTCTCTCTCTCTCCCACTCTCAGAAATAAAGCATTAAATAAATAAATAAATAAATAAATAAATAAGTAAATAAAGCAGGACCTATTATTATCTCCATGTTAAAGATGAGGAACTGAGCCCCAGAAAGTTTAAGTGTCTGCCCAAACTAGTAAATGGCAAAGAGGGAATTAAACCCAGACAGTGTTGTTCCAGAGATCTTGCTCTTAACCACTACACTGCAATTCAATACTGGGACTGCACATTTTCTAGTACAGTATGATGCTCTTTGATATCTAAGTGCCATTACACTGCATGCTTAAATGCCAAGTGAACATATTGCATTTACACACAGAGATAACTGGGCCAACAGCATCTGGATCCTATAGTTTGGTGGATTTTATCTAATAAAAAATGACTATATATATCCAAAATTATTTGTACCTCATTTACTCTTATGAGCAAAGCAAAAATACATTCTTAACTTAAATACTAATTTACCCATGATTCTGGTCAAACCAATTACTATGTAGACAATGTCAGATTTCTAAGGATGTTCTTGGATGAGTCATTTCCCCAAATGGTGGTCTGGGTAATTGTATTTTCATTAGAAGATTAGTTCCTATTAAACAGGGACAGCGTCAATCTTGATAATAAGCTTTTCAAAAGACATATTCTTATAATAATAAAGCAACATAACATTCAAAAGGAAAAAATCCATAGATTATATTAAAAATATTTATGTCACTACTGAATACTGTCACCTATTCAATACTATCTAAATATTTAAAACTAAAAAAAAATCTCTAAGAACTAAAATAACTAAGAAAAAAAGGCATGATAATAATGGAGATTATATTTGAGAATGTTATAGTACTTAAAGTTAACAGCAGTATGAGAATCAAAATTATGTTTCATTTGGTGACAGATTTTATATATTATTCTCTAGCACCTTTTTCACTCTGATTTTCCTTTTGCCTTCTACATTAATTTCAAATTATCTGTGGAGTTTCCAATTCTCTGGGTACCAGACTGAAGGATACACATAAGATGGGGAACTCACAAAAGGAAAGCAAGAGTCCACACTCATGTTCTCAATAATTATACAGTTCTTATAGACAGCAATAGTTATTCACATATTAACAATCAACTATGACAAAGCCAAAAATACTCCAGTTGTAGCATTACCTTTGACCAGTTGATTCTCTTCATGGGTACCTCAGGTTTATATATTTTTTTCTGCTTCATCCCATAAGGCAGATCCAGTGGTGCTCCTGGGGGAGGAGGAATGCCTGGGGGAAATGGAGGAGCAGGTCCCCCAAACAAAAGTGGTGGTGGTGGTGGTGGTATACCAGTCATTCCAGGTAAAGGAGGTGGAGGAGGAGGGAGAGCTCCTCCAGGCAGAGGTGGTGCTGGTGGAGGTGGTGGTGGTGGGGATAACCCAGTATTTGGCAATGGAGGTGGTGGAGGAGGGCCTGGAATTCCTGATGAACCTGAGAGTCCTTGTCCCTGAAATACATATAATACAATTTTAAATGCTTACAGTAAAATATAACAACAAAGAAACCTGTCAGTACACATTAGTGGTTTAAAATTATATAAATTTTATTTAATGTAGTGATATCTAAAGGATAAACAGTAACTGAAAAAGACTCTCATAGATTTTTGATAAGCATTATAAACTCTGGACACTGACTACTTCTGTTTATGTACTACAAAAGTTGGCGTCCTTAAAGATTTTCTGAAGCACTCCTCTAAAAACTGAAATTTATCTTTCATTATAAATCTACGCAAAGAAGTACTGTAAATGGCTAGAGCCTATGAGACTAGTTGGTTTGAATATGGGATAATTAATTCAATCATAGATCAGATTCCCTTGGAGCCAATTAGCTTTACACAGAGTCTGTCTCATAGTACCAGTAACTTAGCAGTCTTTTAATGCCAATAATTAGTATTGAGATTGAGTAACATTCATTTACATGGTAATATATGTTTACCAATGTTTTTACATCCATTACTTCTTTTCATTGTTATTATAACCCTGTAATGTAAGTAGGTCATTTTTATCTCAACTTTATCTCACTGCTTATAGACGAGAAAACTGTAACTACAAAAAGGTTAAACGACTAACCAAAGGTCACAGAGTCTGAAATGTGCTTAAGATTTGAATGTGGTTCTTCTGATAATTAATGCAGTCCTCTTTCCACTACAGCAGACTACCTCCTCATAAATGGGAGGCATTTGCCTTGAAAGGAATTAATTCACACAGATTGAATTATAAGGAGGGTATAACTTTTACTACCAGAAAGCAATTGAAACTCATTCTCTAATGATAATGGATAACAGATGAAGGTAAATATCTCATTCCAAATTACCTACTTTTTAAATTAATCTGTATATGTTTCTTTAAGCCATTACTGTTCACAATGGTTTACTTACAAAATAAATTAATATAAAAGTGAAGTTGGTTATTATAAACATTCCGAAAGAAATCCTACCAATGAACAGACATATTTGGATTCAAGATATGACATCAGATTAACTTGATGAAAAATTTAAAATTAATATTCTTAGCATAGTGTTATTTTTATTTGGGGAGAAAGTCTTCTTATCTTTATTAATATGAATTTCAAAGTTGGACTACTTAATTGTACTAAACTCAGAAATATCTTTACAAAATAAATAAGTTGAAGCATATTTTTGGAGCAATCAATTTAAAGGATTGACCTATTTATAAGAATATTAAAAATTAATAATCATAGATATAATCATGGAAATGTTTCTCATAATACTTAATATGCATTGTCCAAATATTTTATTCATCTATATGATGTTTATGTGTATACAATACACATGCAGACAATTAAAGTGTTTGTACACTTAACAAATGACAATCCTCCTCTGGAATACAGCTTCTCCTGAAAATAGTAAGAATTGAAATAGGATTAAAATATGCAAATTTATTTTCACTTTATTTTTAATGCAGCAAAATTTTAGAAAACAGTCTGATTTTTCTACTCTTGATTGAGATCAAAGAAATTATGAAAAAAGTCAAAATAATTTTTCTGAAAATTTTAGGAAATTAGTAATTTACTCTATGTTTAATGTATAAACAGATTTATTGAATAATTTGAAAGGTAAAATATTTTTTATGAAAAGAGAGCAAAGTTATGTTTAACATCAAATTTTATCTCTATAGATCATATCTAACATATGAAACTTGAGCAAACATAAAAATGCTATCACTTTTAACACAGGATTTTATTCAAGCTAAATTCATATTTTACAAATTTAATAAAGAATATCAAATAAATGCCACCAGCCTTTAAAAATCAAATCATATCAGCCTTTCTCCTACTTCCCATGAACAATTAGGAATGGAACAATTAAATTAGGCTACAATAGAGTATTGAGAATTGAATATAACTAATGAATAATTTAGTATTTGGCACAATTTTGGGTACACTAGAAAGAACTGTGTGACTCTGCACTTTTACAGATCAGTTAATTTAATAATAAATAAGCAAAAACTAAATAGTAAGGCCCTGTGCTAGGGTGACATTGGGGAATGTCACCATCTGGGAGGGTAAAAAATAAATAAATAAAAGAAACTGCGTTCTCAGAGATGAGAAAAGGGTAGTAACATGATACAAGAGAAAGATTTAATGAAAGAAAACTATAAAATAGATAAATGAAACAGACTAAGGATAGGAAACGCCACTGCACTGAGTAATTTGGAGTTCATCTGTGACTTTTGAAGTCATTTCTCAGTAGACTGATGGATATAAATCTAGTCAAACAACAAATATCTACTGAGCATCCACTATGTATAGAGGTGTTACAAAGAAAACCACAGGCCCCAAATGGTATCAGTTAGGCTGAGTCACCAAATTGGAGCTTAATACATAATCTACCTGCAGTTTCAATATCTCCAAGAAATACAGTCTCAAAGGGTAAATCAGGAATTTTTCCATCAGCAGCTAATGAGTCAGCCACCTAAATCCTCTCCATCCCCTAAATGAAGAAGAGGTAATTTGCATAACACTTCTTGCTTGTTGCCCTAAGGGAAAAGTGTCAGGGCCTAGAACAATCCTTTCCTTTCCCTAATAACTTTGCTGTCCCACCCTCTTTCCACAAAAACCTTTCATTTTATACAACTCCTTGGAGTTTCCATCTGCTTACTAAATGGAATGCTGCCAAATTCATAAACTGTTTAATAAAGCGAATTAAACCTTCGAAATTTACATAGTTTCATTTTATTTTCTGAGAAGGTTATCTTCAATTTTTTTTCAAACATCGTTTTCATTAATTGGCTTTACAGGCTAAAGTGCATAGTAAAGACAAAAAAGGAAATGCATACATAGGAAAATGACATTTTTCTCCCCAACATTATTGATCTTCCATTTCTTAATGTTCATTTAAAACACAAAAACTATTGAGAGTTCTTTAAAAAATAAAAATAAATAAAAAGTGCAGAGAGGACTTAATCAGTTCTATAGTTTAGACATCATAATTAACATTTTGAGTGTATATGGGTGCTTCTCATCATAGGGGATATATATGGAAACGCAAAGTTCTTGGGTTTTGAAATTATGCATCCAACTTCTCAAATAAGCATGAAAGTTTGTCTCCAAAACAGTCTTGCTTATGTAATATATTCCATTAAAAATATTCAGGGAAGTTTTGTAAAACTCCCTTGAGCCAAAAGGTGAGGGGCTTGCAAATAAGGACATACCAACCATTGTTTGATCTCAAACTCTATTACCATAAAAGGTCAGGGGTTGAGCAACCTAGCTCCTCCTGGCTGCAGCAAGCCTCTGAGATGTAAATCTTTAGTGAACATTGTGATTAGAATGGTCAAACATGTTCTTCAAGCGACTGTTAAGCAACCCCCCACCTCTAGCTGCAAAATTCTCGGTTCTGTACACTGGCTTCACCCCTCTCCCTATATAAACCCTGAGCGATGGCTTCATGGCGCGCTCTTCCGAGGATTCTTTGAGGACGCTTTGGGTGCTCCGGAGGGGGCCTTAAGGCCTGACTAAAATAAACCTGAATAACCAACTTCTTTTGTGTTTGTGGGCTTTGTCCTCGGTGATTCACCTTTGGAAAAGGTGGTCTAACAGTTTAAGCAACCAGTTTTTATACAAACCATTTTTATACAAACAGTAAAATAGTTTATTTTCCCGGAAAATAAAATCTGTAGTTATTTCAACTAAAACGAGAAATTGCCAAAAAATCTGTTTCTGGTCACATTTTTCCTTCCATCTAACAAGATAATTTTCTACCATTGAACTCACTGTGACATGACATAAAGTCTATATCTTGTTTCATTACCTGGGTTCGAAGTTGTTGGATTTCTGTTTCAAGCTCTTTAATTTTTTCTTCTCTTTTTTGAAGTTCAGCTTGAGCTTCCTGTCGAGCTGTGAATTCTTCATCGAACTGCAATGATCGCCACCATAAATGTACACTTAATAAGATAGTTTTGAAAAACCTTTAAACAATGTTATGTATTAAATAAGTGGAGTGTGTTTTGCTTCAATGAATTCCCAGTTCATTCAGAAAATCAAACCTCTAGATTATTTTCATGACAATTAAGCACCCCTGTGGGAGTGGGGTATTGCTTATGGTATTACTAAAGAAGAAATATGGCCCGAAAACAAGATAAACAAACCTACTTTCACTTCCAAAAAAAAATACAAAACAAAATTTTAAAACAGTGGACTGAGAAGTCTCTCTTTACATATAGTGGACATTTATATTGTTTTGTTATTGAAAATTAGGTTTTAGAATTAATCATTTCCTTTAATGTTTCATCTCATAGCTTTAAGTTCACTAAATTAGAAAATGAAAGCTAAAAATTAGCCATCAAGCAGTTCAACTCCTTAACTATATTTAATCTTGAAAAGAGACTGTACTTTTAGAATGACCAAATGATTGTACATAAATACAAACAAGATATTTCTATTAAAATTTTAATTATCTAGCATCCAAAAAGTGGTGTTCCACAAAATGTGAGAGATTTTATATATGTAAATATGGCATTCTCCTTCAGATGGTTAACTAAAACATTTGCATAAAATGTTACAAGAGAGAAAATAAAAGGTTAAATCGTGGTGCAGTTTGGGTAGGAGTTAAGATGGCAGAATAGTAAGGGGACCCTATGCTTGCCTCATCTTTCAAAATATTTAGATAAATATTAAATCATTCTGAATACCCAAGAAATCAATCTGAGAACTGAAAGACCAAACTGCACAACTAAAGTAAGAGATAAGCCAAATAGTGGAAGGTACCAGGTGTGGAGATGTGATTTGGGGAAGAAAATAATTGTGGATGCTGTAGTGGGGAGGGAACCTTGATCATAGACTAAGGGGTGGTGGGAGAGAAAGAGAGAGAGACAGAAAGACAGGGAGACAGAGAAGAGAAAGGGGAATCCTCTTACTCTGTTGGTGGGAATGTAAATTGGTACAGCCACTCTAGAAAAAGTATGGAATTTCCTCCAAAAGGTTACAAAAATACTCATTCAAATGGGCACATACACCCTAATGTTAACAGCAGTTTTAGCAACTACAGCCAAATTATGGAAAGAACCCATGTCCTTTGACTGATGAATGGATACAGAAGAGTGGTGTATACGTGTATTTGGGTATGTGTGTATGTGTGTGTGTATGTGTGTGTGTGTGTGTGTGTGTGTATGTGTGTGTGTGTGTGTGTGTATGGGGGGTATGTGTATATATATATATACGTGTGTACACACACACACACACACACACACACACACTGGAATATTACAATGAAATCTTGCCATTTGCAATGACCTGGATGGAGCTAGAGTATATTATGCTAAGCCAAAAAAGTCAGTCAGAGAAAGACAAATACGATATGATTTCACCCATATGTGGAATGTAAGAAACAAAAGATGACCATAGGGGAAATAAAAAAAGAGAGAAGGAGGCAAACTTTAAGAGAGACCCTTAACCATAGAGAACAAACTGAGGGTTGCTGCAGGGGAGGCAGGCAGGGGGATGGACTAAATGGGTGATAGGTATTAAGGAGGCCAGTTGTTGTGATAAGCACTGAGTGTTCTATGTAAGTCAAGAATCACTACATTCTACTCCTGGAACTAATATTACACTACATGTTAACTAATTAGAAGTTAAATAAAAAGTTGAAACATACATACATACATACATACATACAAAATTATAGTGTGTTAAGCAGGAGAGATCATCTAAATGATGAATATCTATTTATTACATCTTGCCCAGCCCTTACCTCAGTCAGGAATCCAAGCAGAACCAAACAAACCTGCATACATAAATATTGCTATGTCCATCTATAAAACATTTGCCCTTTATTACCAATGTCACTTTAAATCATCTTAGATATCTATACTTTATTACAATCACATTATTTCTGTTCCTAAAATTGATATAGCTTACTGTCTAGAATTGTATTTAGAGTTTGCAGGACAATAAAAATTATATTCACTGATAATAAATATTCATCCTCATAGATTTGACCTTTGGAAATTAAAGAATGTCAAAAAGATCCAAGTCTGAAGAAAGAGTGTGTAAACAAAATGGATAACAATAGTTTTGGGGTCAAACATGAAATACTAATTCTTTTATTCATTGCTACTTGAGTTTCTGGAAAATTTTCCATAGAGGTTAGTCCAAATTGTTTCTAATATTTAAAAATTATAAACCCACCCCTGATCCTTCACAGTCAGTAATGACCATGTTTCCTACTTGACTGAGAAGATGGAGCTTTTTCAACTTTACTACTATTCATGTTAAGATTTATCTCATTCTGGGGTATCTGGGTGGCTCAGACGGTTACACATCTGAATTCAGCTCAGGTCATAATCTTGGGTTGGTGGGTTCGAGTCCCATATTGGGCTCACCACTGTCAGCATGGAGCCTGCTTCACATCCTCTGTCCCCCTTTCTCTGCCCAGCCCCTACTCACTCTCTCCCTCTCTCAAAAATAAATGAACATTTGTTTAAAAAAAGTATCTATCCTAGGGGTGCCTGGGTGGCTCAGTCGGTTAAGTGTCGGTCTTCAGCTCAGGTCATGATCTCATGATTCGTGGGTTTGAGCCCCACGTCGGGCTCTGTGCTGATAGCCAGCTCAGAGCCTGGAGTCTGTTTCAGATTCTGTGTCTCCCTCACTCTCTGAGCCTCCCCTGCTCACGCTGTCTCTTTCTCAGAAATAAATAAAACATTAAAAAAATTAAAAAAATAAAAATAAAAAATAAAAAAATTATCTGTTTTATACTTCCACCCACTCTCCCAAAGTTAGCTTCCAAGCATGATGTAAATGATACCATTTTCCTTTATAAATGGTTTATTAGTACATCTGAAAATAGGCACACAATGTTTCTGTTTGTAATTTAAAGTGATCCTAATCTGCAAACCCATAGAATAGGAATCACAGAAACCTGAGATATGCAAATTGGAAGACTTCTTACAGGGCAGCTAATCTTATCCTCTTCTTTTAATGATGAAGGAATTAAGACCCAAAAGAGTAAGTAGCTTGAAGTCACAGCTAATTAGTGGAAAACCTAAGATCAGATCTTAAAACTATTTCTTCTCATTCTAAACCACCCCCCCTTTTTTTTTTTTTACTGCTTTATACAGCCTCTTAAAATCACCCAGAATAAGAAAAGGCATGCAGATAACCACTGAGAGACCATACATGTTTTCATTCTAAATGATGGTGATGAGAATAAGGCACTAACCACTGAAACATCTTTTTTATTATTTCAGGACTCCATTTCCCTTAATATATGCTTACAGAAAATTTTACCAGATAGATCAACATAATTTTCTACAGTCTTGTGGCATCTAATCAAAGTGCCAGCAAATAATTAAGAAGATTCTAAGAATTTCAAAGGGAATTTTAAATGTGCTATTTAAAACAAGAACATTACAAATATAAAGGTCTATTTAAAAAGCATTCATTTTCTTCCACCAATAAAATGACAACTTCGCACAAACATTTCATGCTCAAGCTTTGAAAATCTATGCCAGTAACTGAAAGAGGAAAGATATTTCTTCAGATGCCCTGAAGTAACTTCAGTCATATTCTATAATTTCTACAGTGATAGCAAAAGTGATTATCTAATCTCCAAGGTAAGTCATAACTTTGAAGAGACAGCAATATGTAAGCACTTTATCTTGCTGTCAGAAGGCTGAAAACTAGAGTTTTTAGACTTGTGCTTCAATCCTTCCCCCTGATACCAATAGGAGAGAAATACTATACTAATGCTTCCTAGGATCCAGAACAAAAATGCAACTTTTGGCAGAAACTAGTAAAACTGTAATCATGCTTTCATGAAACAAGAAAAAGATAATCTGAAATCTAAATAAAATTAAGATAGTCATAAAACTTGTATTTACATAAGTCATTAACATAGAAAGAGCCATCAAATTCCACCAACCCTACGTGAAATAGCAGAATCTTTTGAAACTGGTAATTATAAAACTCCAAGAGGATAAGTCCAAGCAGAGAGAGGCAGAGAGAGAAAAAACACTGTGTCATTCTATTGCTATTTAATAGCACTCTCATTAAAGATCATAATAGATTAGACTAGCTAAATGTCTCACAGTTCTCCAGGGGAGCTACCTATAGAAAGGGAGAACTGTAATAAAGCGGTATGGGCGGGCAATGTATTTTGGTTTACTGCTTCAAATTCTATCCTTCCAATAAACTAATTTTATTTCATTTATGACTCTAGTAGAATATAGCCAGTGTTTTTCTTCCATAACAAATTAAAGGTGATGAGGATGCAACAGTAACAGCCTTATCAGGAATGAAATCAATATTTTCTGGTTATGTTTTAATCAAAAACATGAAGTACTACATAATGGAACCAACGTTTATAAATCTTCACATAAATAAATATAAAATATGTACTGTGAATAAATTATTAATTTAACAATTATAGTCTTACCTTCTTTGAAAATTCTGCTGCTTTCTGTTCACTTTCTTCCACTTTTGCCTTGTTCACACAAGAATCTATTAAGATTGACAAACCATTATTAGAAATTATTGTATCAAATCCCTAGGCAAAAGATGGTTGCCAGCCAATAATTCTACCACACAATAATTTTTATATCAATTGCTATTGAAGGTAAGTTGACCTACACTACACATAACACATAAACTACCACATTTTTTTGCATACCAACTGAATTCAATGATAGTATTGATGAGGCACAATGCCAAGCATTGAAGAATGTATTTGACTAACTCATCATCGTTTTAGAGGTATTCAATTATTTCCCAACTTTTACAATAATATAATTCTTTAAATTTTTTTTGCAGTTCATTATGGGTGGAGAAAAAACAAAGAATCTATTCTTAAAACTATTAAGAATCTGGGGTGCCTGGGTGACTCAGTCGTTTAAGTTTCCAACTTTAGCTCAGGTCATGATCTCAGAGTTTGTGAGTTCAAGCTGTGCCGACAGCTCAGAGCCTGAAGCATGCTTCAAAGTCTGTGTCTCCCTTGCACGCGCGCTCTCGCGCTCTCTCTCTCTCTCAAAATTAAATATAAACATTAAAAAAATAAGACTCAAAATGACCTTTATTTATTTTAATGTTTATTTACTTTCAGAGAGAGAGAGAGACAGAGAGAACAGGGCAGGGGCAGAAAGAGAGGAAAAGAAAGAATGCCAAGCAGATTCTAAACTGTGAGCACAGAACTTGACATGGGGCTGGAACTCATGAGACCTTGAGATCATGACCTGAGCCAAGATCAAGAGTCAGATGTTTAACTGATTGAGCCACCCAGGTACCCCTCAAAATGACCTTTAAAGTAAGGCTAGAAGGGGGGACACAATAGCATTCATTAATTCAGGTTTTCTACAGAAAGATTTCACACTTAACTGACTTCTGATCTGGAGCAGAATGTATTATGTAAATAAGGAAACAAACATTAAATTTCTCAGGTCTAATCAAATATTCCAGAATATAAATAACTGAAGAACATCTTTTTGGAAATATTCTCATCATTACATATACAAGTCTACTCTGTATCTTGCCATTCACACCTATTTATCCAAAAGAAATGAAAACATATGTCTATACCCATGTATATGAATGTTCATAGAAGGTTTATTTATAATAGCCAAAAAAATAGAAAGAACCCAAATGTCCATCAACAATTAAATGTATACATAAATTGCAGTATATCCATATTCTGTAATACTACTCAGTTATAAAAAGGAATGAACTATTGATACATGCAATATAACAACATGAATTAATCTCAAAATAATTATGCTACATGAAAGAAGACAGACAAAAAGACAGTACATGCACTGGTTCTAGTAACATAAAATTTTTAAAAACAAAACTACTCTAGAGTAAGAGAAAATGGGTCAGTTATCTCAGGATGGAGAGAGGTAGCGAGGCATGGGAAGGAGAGATTACAGAGAGCTTAGAAACTTGAGAGAGTGATAGAGATGTTTATTATCTTGATTGTGATGATGGTTTTAAGTATACATACAAATATTGAAATTTATCAAATTGTGTACTTAATAATAGATAGCTTTTCTCATGTCAAATACATCTCAATAAAGCTTTTTTTAAAGAACTGTGTATAAAGAACTAAGTTGGAAATTGGTCAAAGATCAGAAAAAGAGGGGGTAGATCTGTGCTGTACTCTCAATGGTTGGTAATGATCTTGATTTAAATTTCAATTGGAAGACATTAAGAGTTCTGGCCAAGAATTTGATTGAATTTATGAAAAATACTAGACTTAGAGAATAGTGAAGAGATTCGATATTCCAAGTCCAGGTGACTTTAAAACAGACATCCATAAATTTCCTAGATGTTGTTGAAGCATCTCCTAATTTTTGCATTTATGCACGTGTCTGTGTGTGGTGGGAGTGGTTCTAATGAAAGTTCCAAAGCATTCATCAGAAAAAGTCCTCTGTCCATAAAATATTAAGGACCATGCATATATTTGACTTATCTGAATTTACAGTTGATAAAACTGAAGCCTGGAGAAGTTAAATGGTTTGTTTACAGTCACAGAGATGATATATGGATGAGGTAATCATGGGTTTCTGAAGCTCTATCCTCTTTCACTTGCTGCCTTTACCTCCCCCACCCCAAAGCTTAACTAACAGTACACAACTGTAAGTACCTGGCACACAGTACACACACACACACACACAAAACAAAGGTCTACTGAACACTGAAAGAGCTAGCCAAAATCAACAATAGAGTACATGTGCCAAGCATGGTCCATAATAGATTATAAGCCAATTCAAATATTTGGAAATATTCCCTTAAAACTCTCTCAACAAAATATTAAATAAACTGAGTTGATTAAGCTCATTATAAAATAGGCTCTGAGGCCAGCATTCACATTAATTCTCAGGAAAGGTATATTAGTGCACACTTCCTGAAAAGGATTTGACTTTTCAAAGTTCATGCCCTCAGTTACAGGAATCAATTGTAAGGAATGACAAGAAAAAGGTAAACAAGAATGTTCATAGCAGATTCATTTATAATTGTGAAAACCTGAAAACAATCTAGAGGTACAGTAAGAAAGGACTCATCAAGATGATTATGATACTCCATAAGATGGAATATTATACAGACATTCAAAGTCAGACTTTGAAGGTTAACATGGAAAAATTCTCATAATATAATGGTCCATGAAAAATCAGCATATAGATAGGTTAAAAAAGAGAGATAGAAAAAAATGTACTCAGCCGAAAAGTGAGTAATGGTGTTGAAATGTACTGAGCTAAAAAGTGGGATCAATGGTTTATTCTATCACTTACATAAGTCTCTAGATTACCTAGAGTAAATGAGTACTGGTTTTAAAATCAGAAAATAAGGTACACCTGGCTGGCTAAGTTGGTAGAGCACGCAACTCTTAATTTCGGGGTTCTGTGTTCAAGCCCCACAGCAGGTATAGAAATTACTTAAAAATAAAAGCTTTAGGGCTGCCTGGGTGGTTCAGTCTTTAAAGCATCCAACTCTTGATTTCAGCTCAGGTCATGATCCTTTGGTTTGTGCAATCAAGCTCCACATCAGGCTCCATGCTGGTGGTGCAGAGCCTGCTTGGGATTCTCTCTCCCTCTCTCTCTGCCCCTTCCCTGCCTGTGCCCGCTTGTGTGCTCTCTCTCAAAATAAATACATTTATGCTAAGCAAAAGAAGTCAAGCAGAGAAAAACAGATACCATAATTTCACTCATATGTGGAATTAACAGATGAACATAAGGGAAGGGAAGGGAAGGAAAAATAAGATAAAAACAGAAAGGGAGGCAAACTGTAAGAGATTCTTAAATACACAGAACAAACTGAGGGTTGATGGAGAGGTAGGGGGTGGAGGGGTGGGTAAAATGGATGATGAGCATTAAGGAGGACACTTTTCAGAATGAGTACTGGGTGTCATATGTAGGAGACAAATTACTGGGTTCTACTCCTGAAGCCAAGACTACACTGTATGTTAACTATTTTGAGGAAAGAAAAAATCTTAGTATTACCAAAAGCATCACATAAAAGAAACTCAAAAATTTTTAAAAACTAAATGAATGATTAAATACATAAAAAAAAAGGGAAATGAAAGCTTTAAAAAGTTAAAAAATAAAACTACCTATCTAAAAACAATAAAATAAAATAAAAAAAATAATAGATAATAACCAATAAAAAATTCATCTTTGAATAGTATTGAGTCTGCCTTGTGGTATGGAGTGAAGAATTATAATTGGCATTCCACAGCTGCTGTTTTCTTCATTTAAAGACAAAACAAATTAGTTCATGCTTGGAACTCAGCCAATAGTGATTTTGATTAGGTATAAAAACTGTTTAACTATAAGATCATATAATGTAGCATATTTCACAAGAGATTTCACATCATCCTTCAGAGACTGTTCCAGAAAATACAGCTAACTAGTAGTCTAGGCTGATATTTCCTTAGCAATCCAAATAGATGAACATGATAACTTCAAATTCTTTTCTAGCTTTAAGGTCTATGAAAATATAAATTGATCTACTTTGAATTAAAAGGTCTTGAGCTACTGAAGTCTGTATTTCTTTTCTCAAACTTGAACACTAATAACATAGCTATATTACTAATTAGATCCTATAATTGCACATGTGATTATCTATAATACCACTGATAAACCAACATAAACTTAATCAATGGACTCCAGAGTCGTGTTTCTGAAAAGCAAAGCATTCATCTATAATAATATAATGTTTTTTTTTTGGGGGGGGGACACTGACTTTAAACTTAATTCAAGAATATTAAAACTTATCAAATAGGTTAATATTTTCAATGACACAGGGAGAACTCTCATGATCATCATAATTAACAATTATAGTGATTAGGTACTCACAGACACAATGACTTACCAGATATTAATAAGGAAGTTCAGTGAGAGCACTACCTTCAGAAATTGACTATTATACAGAAGAGAGTAAAACATAAGGGACATTGAAGATAATGTGACATACCTATCAGATGTGTGAAATCAATGTCTAATCTTTGCCTGTACTTGAAATCTGGGTCCATGCCACTGCAGTGCAGCACTATCTGTGAAACACACTCCTCAATTATCTTGTAATACTGTGGCCTGAAAAAGAGAGAAAGTATTCTTGGATATCTTTTCTATCTATACAAATCAATTTTCTTAAGAAGTGGCTCAGCATGCTAAAAGAACAAAGTATTTTTCTAGCACTGCTAGAAGAAATCATTCTAGCCATTACACTCCTTAAGGAGAAATATGCTTAAACTTAACAATGGTCTGGACATTATAATGTAAAAAAAAAAAATGATGTAATCAACTGTGAACACTAGGGACATAATACTTTAGATTATAAGGATTCATGCTTGTGTACAAAGATACTTATCAACCTTATCTACTTACTTAAGTAATTGTTCCTAATGTTAATGAAAACAAATGACCTGTTAGTCCTATATCCATGGATACAAAAATGGTTCCAGGCCTCCACAAGTTCTCAATTTCAGTAATGGATGAGTACTTTGGCATTGACAAGGTCTTGAATTAACTACAACACTTTTACTCAAAATTAGCTATAACAGCTTACAAAATGGAAATTCATCACAAGCTCAGTAAAATCTCTTGGGTTCTTTCTACTAAATGTCCTGTTGCTGGGATATGCAGTTTTATAAGTATATCCTTCTGGCTCAATTAAAAATAAATGAACACTTTTTAAAAAATGTCATCCAAAATCACCATTATACACTATTTGTGTATGTATATATGCCTCTACTACCTAGGATGTACTACATTATCAGTTTCCCTTAATTTAACTGCCTCTTACCTGATATAATAATCATTTCTGATGAGCAAAAAATGTTGTAGAATGGATAATAAGTAATTTTCAGCAGCAGTGTCCTTCAACATGTTATATAGAAGATGATACACTTCATTCATATCAGTGGAATATAAGTAAAGGAAAAACACTGAAGCTCTTGATGAAACTTTTAATCATAACAAAAGCAGTTTCATTCTTTTTAAATATTGATACACCATTTTGTTTCCTCTGTTTCTAAACCTTCAACTGAATGATCCAGTATTGTAAAATTTACATAAATAAATCTAATCTATGGAATCGCTTTAATCTTTTCATTAGAGAAACAGACTTAAAAGAGCATTTCTAAAACCATTTACTCATCAAAACCTAAAGCAATCAGTTATCCATTATATTTTAAATTTGAGATGATAGCTGGTATGACTGGAAAAGCAATGTCATTAGAGGAAATGGTTTACTCTTGCTCTTCCTGTGGTTGTGATAGAGTACCTATATTATTCATGTAAGCCATTCTTCCTCTATTGCCACATAAAACAGAAGGTAAAGGAGCATTCTGTGGACTGCTAAAATATCACAAACCAGTTTTATTTTACACTGATAAAACACTAAGTGTGAAATTGTTACTGTTTGCATTTATTTGTATTTCATTATTTAATAAAAATGGAAGGTAAAGACAATAGAACCTGAAACATACTTAGGATATAAAAAGAGTGGCAGAAGTTTAGATGCTTCTAGTAAACTAAACAACACATTTCAAAAATGGATTCACTTTTATAATAAAAGTGAGGACCTAGAAAATCGATGTAAAATAAAGGTAGAAAAGGAAGTGTAATCCAACATTCTAAAGATAACCTGAAATGTCAATATTTTCTCTGAAGTAGAAGTATATGATGGATTATTTCTCATACCCCATGTAAGAGTGTTGTATTAAAGTCTTCTAAGGTCCTTTAAGTGGTTACAAAATGGAACCCAAAATAGCTTTATGGTGAAGTTTGATTACAAGAGAAATCTATACAAAGCAAGGAAACAATATATATATATTTTAGTTTTGAAGTATTTTCCAATATCCTCCAAATACCATAAGTAAGAAATTTACTGAGTGTGAAACAAATGGCCGGCAATGCTATGGCAACTAGCTTTTATATTTAAAGTCATTTCATATAAAATTGTTGCCACAGGAAGATTATACCTGGTATTTGAATCAAACGCTTCTACCACACAGACCTGTTACAGTCAGATACTATAACATCTAAACATTTTTTTTTTACTAAGGGACCAAAATATTTGGATTGAGAATAAGACGTTTATTTGAATTGAATTTTATCTCTAAGTCATTTGAGTACCTTTTAATAAAACTGAAGAAGTATATTACCTATAGTTATGTATGAACTCAGTGAACTTTACCTCCCAAATTCTTACATGTGAAGTATATGCCTTAGGCTCTTGTCTATTTTAGACTATTAAGCTGAATATATCTATAATACAGCAAGCCACTGTGCAGATTTCAATACTGTCTGTATAAATTATCAGGACAGTCTGACAATTCCTCAACAAGAATCTGAAGGACAGCATCATAGTGAGGTACTAATATAAATAAATGGGTGTAAATTGGGCTGGCAGACAAAAACTCTAATAATGGTCTACATAATCACCCACAAATCCCTTTTTCACAATACATGCAAAATGACTTCTGTGGCTTGTTGAAAGGATATTCCATTTCTGTTCGAATGTCATTGAGACGGTGTGATAATTCAGTTAGGTCGTCTTCTTTGTTCTCATCAAATACTTTTAACTGAATATCAAGCTCATCATTCTCTTTTTCTTTTAGATCCTAATATATAAACATAAAATTACAGATGAGTAATAGTTTGACAACACCATAATTTGGTAATAAAGCACAGACACTATTATTCATTTACATACACATAAGTAATTTTAAATATTGACCCAGGCACTTAGTTTTCTGAGACAAAGTAAATGTACTATGTATTTTCCTATTTTAAAATTAAAGAACCTCATTATATTCATCGCATTTTCTTTTCATGCCCCAGATTTTGATTATTTGCATTAAAAAAATTAACAATCACTTTTACAGTTGAAAAAAAAACCTAATTGCTAATGATCCAAATTGAATGCTGTCATTTTTGACCAAATACACTAATCAAAGATAGCAAAAGAATCCATGCAGTTAGGACATTCACATATGACTCTGGCAAAAAAATGCAAATATAGATCAACTGTACTAGTGACAAATAAATGCAAGGATATATTCAAGCACAACAGTCCCAAGTATGGTGTAGAAAGTTGTATAAAGAATTTTTTTTTTTTTAACATTTTTTTTTTATTTATTTCTAGGAGAGAGAGAGAGAGACAGCGTGAGCAGGGGAGGGTCAGAGAGAGAGGGAGTCACCGACTGAAACAGGCTCCAGGCTCTGAGCTGGCAGTCAGCACAGAGCCCGACGCGGGGCTTGAACCCACGAACCGTGAGATCATGACCCAAGCGAAAGTCGGACGCTTAACCGACTAAGCCACCCAGGCGCCCCTGTATAAAGAAATTTTAAATGATATTTTGTGATTCTGAAGCAAAAAGGAATCAGGATTTTTAATCAAGCTACATGTCTAGCCTCCTACCCCACTTTTTTTTTTTTTTTTTTTTTGCTTAGCCTAATCACAAAATACCAACTTGGGTATCAAAGATTTGTTTTTGTAATATACTATAAGTGCATGCATTACAAACCTCTGATAATTTTCAAAATAATATTATGAACAAAATCTTTGGAAGCATGCCACACCAGAGATTGTTGGGCTTAATATATATCACCTGGAATATCTTTTAATATGTGTCCATTAACTTGCAGTTCTCAAAACCCAAATCGATAATCACAACTGTGGATGATGCTCAAGGGTGATACTGAAAGTGGGACTAGGATTTTAGAGCTGAGCTTGAACTCTAAAAGGAAATGCAAGCATGGTGTATTTCAAATTAGGTAAACAAAACAAAATAGGATTCATTTCTTGTTTCTATTTTTATTCAATAGAACAATTATAAATTTTTAATGTTTTTATTTATTTTTGAGTGACAGAGAGTTAGAGCATAAATGGAGGAGGAGAGAGAGAGAAAGGGAGACACAGAATCTGACACAGACTCCAGGCTCTGAGCTGTCAGCACAGAGCCCAATGATGGGCTTGAACTCACAACACACTGTGAGATCATGACCTTAGCCAAAGTCGGACGCCCAACCAACCAAGCTACTCAGGTGCCCCTCAATAGAACAATTATAAATGGAGATGTAATGCTATTATTAAAGCCAAATGCAAGTATGCAATTTCTAGATATTTTTCTAACATTCACATAATAATTTAAATTTACATACTGAACATATGAAAACACTTAGTATGTTTCCATATAATTTTATATAAAATATATGACAAACAAATGTATTTACATTTAGTTTCCTCTTTAGGAATATCTTGTTTCGGGCCTAGTTTTCTACTTTTCAGTCTGTTGGAATGCAAAATTATTTACCATTGGTGGGTGGTTTTATCAAGTGATTTCAGAACTCCAGTCAGAAAAGAACAGAAGCCATAAATATCCAGTATGTCAGTCATTGCAGAAACAACTGTTAACACATTTTATAATATGGACTTTTCATTATTCTTACATCTTATGTTATAACATATTGTTATGTTCCTTCTTAGAGGCTCACCATAAAACTAGTACACTTTGAAGTATGTTTTAAAAACAGAAAAATCAAATTTGAATACCTCCATTTAATTAGGATTAGAATTTTTATAAAGCATGGAATTAATCTTTATAATTAAAATGTTTTCTGTAAAAATAAGTGGTTAAATGTTTAATTGTTTTCAGTTAGGACAAGACTTTAGTTATATACAATATATATAGTATATGAACATATATACCACAATATTAAAACACAAACATAGTGGCGCCTAAATGCCTCAGTTGGATAAGTGGCTGACTCTTGATTTCGAATAAGGTCATGATCTTGCGGTTTGTGAGATCAAGCCTAGCTTCAGGCTCAGCACGGACAGTGCAGGGCCTGCTTGGGATTCTCTCTCTGCCTTCCTTCACTTGCTCGCTCTCTCTCTCTCTCCCAAAAATATATAAATGAACATTAAAAAAAATATTAAAGTATATAGCTATAGAAATGTGATCTCTTATATTGCTTATTAATAATCTCTCCATTAATATAAATAGATATGAATATATATACACACACATATATATAAAGCTTCCATTCAAATGTCAAACCTTAATAAATAAATCCATAAATTCATGATGAAATAAACATTTAATTAATAAAGTTTTTATATAGCACAAATATGATATCTTACAAAAGGAAATGGAAATGCATCACTAAAGTTTTATTTTTAAAAATATATATTATCATAACTTTACTGAATTATACTATTAATTATGTAAAATATTCTAAATATGTTTAGTTATTTTTTAAACAGAATTGTTATATAGATATGGAACATTTTTGACAGATTCTGTAAAACAAATAATTAAGTTTCTATAACATAGTGTACTTCAAAGGAAATTCCATTACCAGTACATGACTCATTACCAGTCAAGCAATCAAAATTGAGTCTTCAACAGAGTAAGAGTTTGTTGTTGTTTTTTTTAATAGAGTAAGAATGCTTGCTGCTTACAGACATGATTTCTTACTCTCTTGTTCCTTCACAAATCTTATTTACCTAATATTTCCTAATCTTATTTAACTAACTGTATAGTGTATAACAACTCACCAATCCAAACTGCTAAAGCAAATGTATTAACAGAATTTTCCATATAAATTAAGTATAAATTTTCTTTAAACACCATAATTTATCAATAGAGATGGGGGAATTTTGAAAATAAATTTTATAGAATATAATTAAAATAATCCTTATCTTAAGGATTCTGATTATTGTATGAAAAATGTTTCACTGTACTGAATATTATGGTGGTGTCAGAGGTTATTAAAATACTAAGCATGATTCTTCTCCAACACTTCATGATTCCAGATATGTATATTTTCTTAACTTTTTATTTGAATTCCAGTAAGTTAACATACAGTATAATATTAGCTTCAGGTATACAATACAGTGATTTAACATGTTCATATAACCAGATAGGTTTGTGATAATGTTTTATTCATGTACCAAACAATCTGAATTAGCCGTAGCCACGTCTACTTTGCTGCTTTGAGTATAATATATTCTAGAAAATTAGGGAGCTCTTCCTGTTAGAAAAGTAAGAATGAACAGGAAAAGTGTGAGGATTTTAAAAACTCTTCTATGAATACATTATTAAGCTTCCATGCACGTGTTCAGATGTTTAATGCTACCAAAATTCTAGCGGTTTAAGCTTAAATATTTAGGAAATTAGTGAGTCAATTAGATAATTGACATAAGTAGGTATATCTAATACACATTAATGTGTGACCATTCAGATCTATGTTCCAAATTGTGATAATAAAACTACAAGAACAACATTAGTAGTGAAATCTATGGTATTAAAGAAAGAATATCTAATCTTCTGGGTTTTATCTTTCTGGATTCTGATTCTCATATATAAGATATACCTGGGGAGGATTTTTTTTTCCTTTTCAAACCAAACATCTCTGCCTTACCCCCAATAAGATTTTGATAGATTATCTCTAGGGGGACATGTCCAACTTCTTTAGTTGATTACCTGGGCTGTATTTAGCCACACTTGACTCCACTGTCTTGGAAAAAAAAGTTGAGAATCCTTATAGATTCTTTTCCAAAAGTTTAGGAGGCAAAAATATGACACTTCCTACTTTTTTCTTGCTGAGGAACCAACTGAGATCTAGGAATCAGGACATACTGAAGAGATGTGACAGTTAAAGAAAAATCTAAGTGGATACATATATTAGGAATGCATATGTTAAGAAGTACATGCTGCCACAAAAGGCTTAAGCTTAGAATCACTGATGAAAAATCTTCATTGTCAGTGTAAACAAGTGAATAACATGCCATGAGATCACTGAACCCAGAAAGATGAACAAACCAAAGTATAAAAGGATAAAAGCTATCATTCATACTCTTACTGAAAAGATGAGAGCTTACATAAATTGAAAGTCACAGTTTTCTTGATCAGACATTTAGTAGTATAAGGCAGAAAATGAAAATTCAATTATAATAGATACAGGGAAATAAAATATGGAAGAGTAATAGCAACAACTAAGCAAAAAAGAATGTGCCATACTAGTAAATGAGCAGAGAATGCTAAGGAGCCCTTGTAGCCACAAAATTTCCAAAGACATTATTACTCTCCCAGAAACAGGACCAGCCCAGAGCATGGAAACCAACAAGTAGGCAACTCAAAAAAACCACACTAGAATCAAGACTGTAACATTTATCTGTAGCTACCTAAGCCTACAGACATCATGAGGAAAGATTTGTGACAAAACAAGAATAAACATGTTACACACACCAAAGCTAGTGAATGTGCCTAAGTTAACTCCATAGTGAACCTCAATATGAGTCACTTAAAATGTTGTTGTGATTAACTGCAACCAATTCCTTGCTTTTTAAAGTCATGGATTAAAGGACCATTCAAAGTAGAATTGACACAGAACTTTTCTAAAAGCAGATAAACCAAATCATACATCTTATCAAAATGGGTTTCAGCAGACCCAAGTCTATGGTACATTTTATGATGATGAATTTCAACTACTTTCTGTTAAGACTATCAGAGCACAAGTTACAGATGTATGCTGCATACTCATTATTTACCAGGAAATGTCCCTGATTTTGGTATTTTTAATACTTTAATTATTATATACATGCTCACTTGATATTTGTTTTGTTTCTTTATATGTATTTTATTCCCTTTTTCTTTTTTTCTCCTCGGGTGTGAGACTACAGCATTTTAACAATTGTCTTTTAACAATGCCATGGTTTAAACAAAATAACATCCTAGGCAAAATAAAAAGTCACATTAGTTGTATTTGTGTTTATATAGTAAGTGTCCTTTATCTCAATCAAGCCTGTAAAGATATTTCAAAATGTTAATTAGAGCATACAGTCACATTCGATTTAAGAAATTATTTTTTAAGAAAAGTTCCCACAGCATTATAATAAGAATGCCATTCTTAAGTAATGTGTCTAGAATATACTAATCCAAATTCTACACATATTTATGCTGAATATAAATGGAATCAATCTAAGTTCAAAGAGGAAAGCAAAAACTTTTTTTTTTTTTTTTATATTTTTATTTATTTCTAGGAGAGAGAGAGACAGCATGAGCAGGGGAGGGTCAGAGAGAGAGGGAGATACAGACTCAGAAACAGGCTCCAGGCTCTGAGCTGGCAGTCAGCACAGAGCCCGACGCGGGGCTCGAACCCACGAACCGTGAGGTCATGACCTAAGCGAAAGTCTGACGCTTAACCAACTAAGCCACCCAGGAGTCCCGAAAAGCAAAAACTTTTAAATGAAAATTGAGGCTGCAGAAAAAGAAAAAGCGGTGGTCTTTTATGTTCTCAGTATTCAAATTCAAAGAAAAGAAATTCCCTTTCAACTTTGAGAAAACAAAACAAAACAAGGGGAAAGAAAACACCCACATCATTCTGGATACATTAGCTGAATTCTGAATCATCAGTTGTATGAAAAGACTGACATTACTGCAATATAGAAAAGCTCACAAAATGTCTAATGCTTTACAAAAGAAAACAGAACAAGTCACATTTATTTACTCTGCTGCAAATTCTTTTGTCCAATGAGAAAAAAACAGTAAAGTTCATCAGCATAATAAATGTGTACAGGCAACTTACTGGTAACATTGTTTTTAGTCCTGAACGTAGGAATTCATTTCTTAAATGTATTCTAAAATCAAGCTCATAAGGCGATGTGACAAGGGCATTTATAAACTGCATGCAGGCCACCTGCAATTAGAAAGCAAATTTTGTTAAAAATTTTTAAATTAAAAAAATATTTACTTACTGCATTCAGATCATTATTTTTCCATTAGCTAAAGGTATATATACATATACTATAAGAAGAAATGTAAATTTTATATAACAATGAATTAGTATAAACAACAGAATTAACAATTAAATTTCTTATGTCCAGAATAATTCTAATAAAAATATGGATGGCCAACTATTGCTATGTTTGGCCAAACATTATATGAAGGAATACTGAATTCTCTCTGTGAAACTCAAAGTTCCCAAAGTCTGCATATGAGGCACTTTTAAAAGATCATGAAATGTATCTTTCATATCCAGCTATCTTCAAAGTGCACTTGGCCTCAATTCTATATAGTTATATACACTTTTCTGTAATAAATCAAATAAAGTACCCTGATATTAAATAGGGAACAGTTATAACTTGGAGATATTATTATATTGATTATACTCTCTCCATCCTATGGTTGGGAAGCACAAAAAATACAGAGTTTAAAAATACATGATTAAGATGAATTAATTTACTGTGTATAAAAATGAATGCAAGTGAATTAGGTTCAACTAGAAGGCACTGTGACACCAGTGCTAATGTGCGCTGCATGACAAATATAAGGGTTTGCTTTTAAGTGAAGGTGATTCATTAATTATATTAACACTGTAAAAAAGGTTTGGTTTTTCATACCTTCTAATATTGAGATTCCCTATTATAAAGGGGACTTACTTTCTAATAATTGCAAGCTAGAAGGGAATCAGCAAAGTGCTGATTCATATGATCAGGCGATCCATACATTATTCCCAAATAGCGTTTTTGGGAAATGCTGCTCAAGTTTACGGCAAGTAGCTAATAGTTTAATTGAGTAGCAACACATTTAAATTGATTATTCTTTTTATTTTAAGTTTATTTTGAGGAAGAGACAGAGAGACAGAGAGAAGCAAGTAGGGGAAGGGCAAAGAGAGGGGGAGAGAGAGAATTGCAAGGAGGCTCTGTGCTGACAGAGACTCGACCAGGGATTCGAACTCACAAACCATGAGATAATGACCTGAGCCAAAAACTTGAGTCAGACCCTTAAACGACTGAGCCACCCAGGTGACCCTAAATTGGTCATTTTTAAAGTATTGTACTTTATTTATTTTATTTATTTAGTATTCAACATTTTGTACAGTGTACAAAGAGTTGAATGCAAGAGAACTCCTCGAAAACACCAGATTTGATAAATATGTCAAGTATATTTAGGAGGAGGTGCAAATAATAGTATGTGAAAAGCATATCAACAAGAGAAAATATTTCAACTGTATTTTGACTTGACTTACCCAGACCTATCACTATTTTCTATAATTTTCTTAAATGCTTGTTTATTTTGGGAGAGAGAAAGAGCAGGGGAGGGGCAGAGAGAGAGAGGGAGACAAAGGATCTGAGCAGGCTCTGTACTGGCAGCAGAGAACCCGATGTGGACTCAAACTCGTGAACCATGAGATCATGACCTAAGCCAAAGTCAAACGGTTAACCCACTGAGGCACCCAGACACCCTCAGACCTATCATTTTAATAGTTATTTTTCATGTAGAAAGAAAATATTAGAAGGTTTAAAAATATAATTCCTTTAAATATTTCTTCATTAAAAACACAGTATTCCTTTATTTTTATATCTGTACCTTAGAAATTTAAGCTGTTTTTATGACAATTAGTCCATCCACTTCACATCCACGTTCAAAAATAAAAAGTTGCGTGCTTTAAAGGGGATGACTAGGGGCTCCTGGGTGGCTTAGTCAGTTAAGCATCTGACTTCAGCTCAGGTCATGATCTCCTGGTTTGTGAGTCTGAGCTCAGAGCCTGGAGCCTGCTTCAGATTCTGTGTCTCCCCTTCTCTCTGCCCCATCCCATGCTCATGTTCTGTCTCTCTCTGTATCTCAATAATAAACATTTAAAAAATAAATAAAGGGGATGACTAAAGTTGTTTCTAACATTACTAATATCTAAATGACAACTGAGCAATGAAGTCCAACTCCTATGAATGCTCACAATATAAAACACATAGACAATTGATTAAAAATACTTGGTTTATCATAAAAGACATTTCAAATAAGTTATTATGATATTATGCCTTAATGGATTACTCAACCTTCTTATTTACAATAAGAAAATATGTAAGTCCTTCTATAGTTTCCATTGGGTGGGATAGAAGTTTGCATACTGAACACATTAATAACTATATTATCATTGCAATGATCCTTGTTATGTTACAACTATGACATGACCAAATAAGCCAAAGTACATGTCCAATCCAAAATCAATAGAGAGAAAAGTTACCATCTGCTAGAATTGTTTTTGCCAGAAGAAATTCTAGTTTAATGGATTGTATTAATACCCTATAAGAGAACATTTCCATAAGAAACAAGTTAATGAGTCTTGGAATTGTACCTTTATACAAATAGAAGTATTTAGATCAGGGGATGATAAAAATAGTAAAAGCCAATAAAATTAATGAATGTATCAACATCAAAATAACTTCACATTTAGTAAGATAAATACTGCAATGCTATTAAATACTTTACATGTGATGTATAAATGTATAACTGAATGCTAAAATGGAGTTGCGTTTAGGGGCACCTGGGTGGCTCAGTCGGTTAGCAAGTGACTTTGGCTCAGGTCATGATCTTAAGGTTTGTGTTCAAGCCTCGTGACAGGCTCTGTGCTAACAGCTCAGACCTGGAGCCTGCTTTGGATTCTGTGTCTCCCTCTCTCTGCCCTTCCCCTGCTTGTGCTCTCTTTCTCTTTCTCTCTCTCAAAAATAAATAAGCAATTAAAAAAATTAAAAGCAAGAAGTTGCATTCTTTGACTATAAAATAATTAGAAGACAAACAAAATAAGTAGAAGATGCTTTGAAGTCAGCAATTTAAGCAGGTAATGGCACTGATTTATCAATGTACTATTTTTTGTTTATCAAATTCTTTTATTTTTAATTTTTATTTATTTCTAGGAGAGAGAGACAGAGAGACAGCATGAGCAGGGGAGGGTCAGAGAGAGAGGGAGTCACAGACTGAAACAGGTTCCAGGCTCTGAGCTGGCAGTCAGCACAGAGCCCAACGCGGGGCTCGAACCCACGAACCTCGAGATCATGACCTAAGCGAAAGTCGGACGCTTAACTGACTAAGCCACCCAGGCGCCCCTTGTTTATCAAATTCTAACAGACATCTAATCAAGTACAAATAGCATAAGCAGAATAGTCATACCATCATGTCATTTTCCAACATATTCTGTTACAGTAATGCTCTTTTATAAAAATATTTATATTGTATGAATGTGAAGAACAAAATAGTCTCTTTAATACTGCTTTATGCTACTACATAATTACCACCCTTTTTAGAGGACATAACAAAATTAATCCAAAACCAAAATAATTGTCATTATTTATAAACACAAAATTAAATTTTAAAAATAGAATTATTCTCAATGCCAGAATATATTATTATTCATCCAAAATAATAGTCTCCACTCTCCTTTACTTTCTGCAACCCTACTCCCTAGTCAGCATACATTTGCATACACACACACACACACACACACTCTAGAACTAGGCTGTTCAATATGGAGCCACCAGTCACAATTTAAATTTAGTTTAATTACAAATAAGTAACATTAAAAATTAAGTTGTTCAGTCTCACCAGCAACAGTTCAAGTGTTCAGCAGCCACATATGTCTACTGGCTATCGTACTGTACAGCATGAATGTCGGACAATGCAGAAAGTTTGACTGGATAGCATTACACTAGAGGCTTTAAAGAAAAAGGCTTCTGGCCTAATATCTAAAACCTAAGCTCCAAAGAAGTATAAAGCTCATTCCCAAATAATGATAGATTTGAAATTAGTATGTTGAACTTCCAGGTGTATAATCTTTAAGATCATGATTGAACTATATTGTTTGTTTCTAAGACAAAATCAATTGCTTTAAAAAAAAAATCCAGCCCCTGAGATGGAAAATAAAGAATCATGTGATTGTAAAGCAGAGAGACTGCTTAAAAATGCCAAATACTCTGGTCCAATGTGCTCCTTAAAGGTAAAGAAACTGAAAACCTAGAAAGATTAGATGATTTGCCCAAGATCATGCAGCTAATAATAAGCCATTAAGATTGGGATAGAATCCATGTCTCATGGCTTTGTTCTGGATTCTTTCTACAACAATACAATGTACAAATCTGGCAATGGTGAATAGCATTTTCCCTTGTACTGGAAAGAAAACAAGTACCCTTGAACTGAATATCACAAAGTCTATTTTCCAGATTCATTCTTTTGCTTAGTTTCTTTATAATAAGTCTAAGTTTCAAAATGGTCTGCCATATCTGTTTTAAATATAGCTTCCATGGAAATTAAAATTTAAATGTCAGAGTAAATCAGTGAATTTTCTCCATTATTAATAAATATGATAGGATAGGACCAAAATTCTAATTCTTAACCACTAAAAACAGTCAACTTCTTTATTTGCACTTCAGTGGTCTCTTTTTCTACATAATAAATATGCTGCTGATAAATCCATAAATATATATAAATAAAAACCAGCAACTATGTGCATGTGATAAAGCATTCCATAATTTGTACCATGGATAATTATATATACAAAACTAAATTACTATCAGTTTTTCCATCACATTAGGATCTTTCCTTTACTATAGTAGTATATTCTCTTTCTGCAATAATTACATCCTTTAGTCACAGGATGCTTTTGTCCTCATCTTGTGGTATGGGATGTGAGAGTGTGTGAAATATCACAAAAGAGATTATAAACTTTGTAAAGGCAAGCTCTGCACTCATTTAGGATTTTCTGTGTAACCCCTAATTGCCCTCAATAAAACAATTAAAATGTAATGGATGAATGGTAATGAAATGTCTCAAATTTTAATGACATGAGACATAGCATTACAAAAAACTTGTATTCCATTTCATACCAAAGTGGTAGAGAGTGGAACTATTTTAACATGAAATATC